CAGTCCTGAAGAGTTTTGAAATTGTCAATCCTCTCTCTGTCTCTCTCTGCAATTGGCAGTCCTGGAGAGTCATCGTTTGAAACTGTCGATCCTCTCTCTCTCTCTCTCTCTCATACCATAGAATTACTTCATTTAAGGCAAAATCATTTTCTTCTTCTTCTAACATGATCATCTTAAAGGTAATAGGAGATACAGTTATGTCCTAATTTCTCATCTTAACATAGTATTTTTCTCTCCTCATTGCCAGCGGTCCAAGAATACCGATTTGTTAAGGATAGGACAGATGTGTTCGATGAGGAGAAGTTTTTCCTCAAATACACTGTTATCGAAGGAGAGCGCCTCGGGACCAGGTTCAACTCTCTAGTTTACGAAGTGAAGTTCGACGAGGCTGCTAATGGCGGAACAGTGGCCAAGATGAAGGCCGACTACGATACCATCGGTGATGCAACTCTCTCAGATGACGAGGTCAAACAAATGAAAGAGAACCTCCTCTCTCTGTTCAAAGCTGTTGAGGCCTTCCTCTTACAAAACCCTGATGCATATGCTTAAGCTCCTTGTTTTGCATCTATACCCACTGTGCTTGCTTTCTTTTCTATACCTTTCTCTTTCGTATAACCAGCGTGGTTTGGATGATAATAAAGTGTGCTGTAGTAATGTGTGTGCGGGCATTGGCTTGTCGAAAAGGAAAAGATCAGAGTGAAATAAGTTTTGTGTTTTTTACTTCTCGAATTTGTGTATGAGAAGAGGGATTTATCCTAAATTGGAAAAGTAAGTTTTCTACCTCCTTTTATTTGTATCAATTTTGTGTATGACCAAAGATTTACCATTTTTTGTGCGTGTTGAGAGTAGTATATTTTGTTTATTGGGAAGTTTATCAATATACCCCTGAGAGAGATGAACTATTTAACAATTTACCCATGTTGAAATATTCTAGCTCATGTTCATGTGTTTTCTCATATGTATTATGAAATAAAATCAAAAGATATGGGTACAATGTTAAATAGTCAATTTCCTATGGGTATTTTTATAAATTTCTCTTATTTAATTGATTCCCATTGGTTGAAATTCCAACCTTGATACCAACATACAAGCAAGATATTCTTACTAAAAATTTAATTAACCATTAGTTTTTATTGCAAGGGAAATTTGTTCTCAATGCTTGACTGGTTCTCTAACAATAGTGCTCCCACATCAATGGTATTAACTCTTATCCATATGCACCTTACCTAAACTCATTTGTAGTCAAGGTCAGCCACCAGTGCCCATCCTTTACTCTTACTAAAAATTTACCAAAAACTTAATTAACCATTAGTTTTTATTGTAAGGGAAATTTGTTCTCAATGCTTGACTGGTCCTCTAACTGTAGTGCTGCCACATCAATGGTATTAACCCTTATCCATATGCACCTTACCTAGACTCGTTCTTAGTCAAGGTCAGTCACCAGTGACACCCACCTTCTTCCCCACCTCATCATTTTTTATTTTCTTTTGGGGTGAGTCAGTGGGGACAGAGCCCTATCCTTCGTAGAAATTCAGCTTAGAATTAAGCCCAGGCTCTTCCCCACCTCATCTTTCTTTAGAAAAATGGGAAAAACTTCAAAAGCATATGAAACTACCTCAAAAGGTTTATTCAAGCCCAAATAGAACCATAAAAAATAGCTATTAATGAAAGAAATATCCTATTTATACTTTTTACATGAATACTATAAACAAATGTCGACATAAACTCCAAATTCACGACTATTGACCAATCTCTTAAGATTGTATTGCTTTTATTTTTGTCCCCTCCTTGTGCCACGCACATGAGGTTGGTGAAATTTAATATATTTATCAATCAAATATGTCAAAAACCTTTGTCATTGTACCACAATGAGTTGTTATATAAAGGACAAATCATATAAGCATTTAATTCTAAAATAAAAGCGGCTAAAGTACCTACTCTTAGGAATCATCAGTTAATATTTGTTATTGCTAAGGAAAGAAAATTGAAGATTGTTATACGCCTACTTGCTTCTTGATGTGGGCCCATGAGCAGGAAAATGATAATACTTCTTTGGCCGTCAGGTTTGAAGACCCTTATGTAAATCCATTTGTTTATTCTTACCACATATATCATCTACATTAAATTTTTGATAAATGACATTTTCTCTACCATGAAGAAAAAAGCATTTAATATTGCCTAATGTAACTATTTTGTTTTCCTCTCTCTATCCCTTCCCTTCCCTTCCCTTTATCGTTAAACTAAGGAGCACCTAACAAATTCATTAAAAAAGGCTGGTTTGATGTTGAAAGACCCTCAATTCGATCATCTCGAGCACAAGATGTATGAACATAAAAAAAAATAGATTTCAAGTATTAAAAATAGTGCATCTTGTAATGTATAATTTATCTTGTCAATTTTCAAGATTTTCAAGTGTTTATAGATCTACTCGATCTACAATATTTTTAACTTCAAATTTTATAATTCGAGATGAAAATAAGTTTTCAAGCTATTATAAAGATTTCTAATACTGAAACAATATATTTTGGCACTATTTGAAAGTACGCCCTACTTTGATTGTTGAGGGTCTCAGCCTTATACAAACCACACCCAGAATAAAAATAGAAATCTTATTTCCTCCTGTAATCCCATGACTATTTCCTATCTCCAATTATCACTTAAAATTTATTTAGGGAATTAATGGAGGCACCCTTGATCCATCTCCATATCCCACTTTCTCATAAAAGGAAAAGCCATAGGAAATTTCTGAGATTTCATAGCTTTTAAAATGATAGAAAATTATTATTGTCTTGGCTATATTAATTAAGGTTTGCAAGTCACAAAAAATAATCCCTTGCTGTACTTTCTTCTAGCTTAGTTTCTCTTGTTTTATTCCAAAGTTTAATCAAATCATGCTTTACATGGGAGAGATTCCTCAGTTCTTACGTCTGATAGGCATGAAAAATCCAACCCTCAAATTTTGGTAAAACTGGAATTTTACTCCTGAACTTTTAGATAGTGATAATAAAATAAAAAACTAATTGTTATATCTTCATTTTTCTCGTATGACTATTAAAGCTTCAGACTATTTTCATTTATTTTTCCATGAACTAAGTGTTTGTTTTGCCCCAAATACAAAGAATTTGTGTGAAACAAAAGCACTTCCTTTCTTTTTCTTTTATAGTACGCATGCTTCTCCGAGTCTCCCATACTGGTAAAAATTTACGAAAGTTTGATGGTGCAGATTTACAATAGATGAAAATCATTAGAATAAATGGTCTAGATAATTTATTACAAGATATATTTTTTTTTGAGACTTTAAAATCTTTTTTTCTTCTTCACATCCATATATTTCAATGTCAAGATGATCATCAATTAGAGGGTTTTTCGGTCAGAACAATATAAATTTTTGAAATGCGCCTTTTTCTTACAGTACAAGATTTCAACCCCAGGGGAACTTATTCCATTATGAAAGGGTGTTTGTATAAGGTATCAACCTTGAACAATCTAATTAAAGCGCACCTCCGAAGCTCGTCGTAATTTTATTATAAAAATTTCAACGATGACCTAAAAATCTACCTGTCATTTAAGAATTTCTTGAGGCGTCCAAAAAAACCAGCCAAATATATTAATTTAAATTCTCTAATTGTTACACCACTCACCCTTAATAAAAAAATACCGGGTCTTGCTTTCACATATACTGTCCTCTCTTAAAAAATATTTAAATAATATCGCTTACTTGTCCACGCCCCTCATTCCTCCCAGCACGCAACAACCACTCTCTCAAATATCACATTCATATCAATTTTTTAATGACTTATGCCCTAAAATCACTCTCACTCTCACTCTCACTCTCACTCTCACTCTCACCAACCCACACTACTTTCTTCTATAAATACCTCTCTAACTCTGCACTCATCATCGTTATCAGTTCCACAATCTCTATCTCTATCTCTATCCCTTTCCTTTTCTCTCTCTTTCTCTTTCTCTTGTTTGTTTTTACACCAATCGGAAAATATGGTTTCCGGCACTCTATCCAATGAGTATGTCTCTCCCCTCCCAGCCGCGAGACTGTGGAACGCGAGCATTAAGGACGTGCACAACATCGTCCTAAAGGTGATGCCTCACTTAATATGATATATGTGAGGGAGATGGTGGAGTTGGCACCGTCAAACGGTTTAACTTCACCGAAGGTTTGCACCACCAATGTCTTTAACTTTTCTGCAACTCTCTCTCTCTCTCTTTAGACTAGGAAAACTTCGATTTCTCTGCCCCCCATCTATAGCAACCCCGGTGAATTCAAATTTTCCCTCTCTTTCTTCCCGATGCTTTGCACTGAAAAAATTAGCTTAAATTACCTTTGAGAATTAGATCAGGTGGAATTGGTTGGCTGTGGCTGCACCCCAATAGAGTTTTATTTTTAAGTCTCATGCAATCAATCAAGTGTCCCCGGTATCAGAAATCGGGTTGAAGTTGCGGTGGTAGCACCACTTGAGTCTCAAATACTGGTCTAGACTATGATGTGATGTGATCCAAAACCGTTAATTATTTCTAAAATCGGGTAGGACCCTTCGGTTAATCTACCTAACAAAACCCTATATTCCCTATTGATCTACCCAAAAAAAAAAAAAAGGTGTTCTTTGATTTCAACAAAAATAAAATAAAAGGAAAAATCTTAAATGAAGTTCCATTTAAATTCAAATGGGTCCCATTTTAAAAATTCCGCCTAGTGATGGATCTAGGGTGGTCTTAAACATATTTTATTAAATATTCTTAAAAGAAAAAGAGTTTTAGACATTTAGTACCAGCAAGGAAATGGACCCCACTATTTATTTATTTCATAGTTGTGTGGGTCCTTCTCTGTCCATCGTTATCCAACCATTTAAATGGACGGTGATGTACCTCATGGCCATGGATTTTTATGGGCAATACATATTGAGAGATGCCCCCTTTGGAAGGTCTATTCAAATCTTCAACTCAATCTAAAGACGAAGTGACATCTCATCCTAGCGTGAAAACTTTTGCAAATGGTGTTAAGTGAAAAAGCCCTCGAAAATCGAAGGCCTCAAGTCTAAGCTTGAAATATTAAATTATATATATATAGAATAGTTTATATAAGGTTGTAACTTTAAAATGTAGAATCATAGATGCACCTCAAAAATCTATCAAAAATATTGTTTTAATGTTGAAAAAAACCTTCTAATCAATCATCTCGACATCGAGATGCATGAATATGAAAAAAAAAAATTTGACGTTCCGATAATAGTGCATCTTGCAACACATTATCTAGACTGTCTATTTTCAAGATTTTCATATATTTATAGATCTACTTGATTTTAACCATTTTTGAAATTTAAATTTTTTAATTAAATATGAAAATAGATTTTAAGATAATAATAAGTATTTTTTACAACAAAATTACATGTTATAATAAAATTTTAAGGTGCACCTTAATTGGATTGTTCAAGGTTGCACCCTTATAAAAAACCGCACCTATATATATATATATATATAGCAATTGGCAGTCCCGGAGAGTCGTTGTTTGAAATTGTCAATCCTCTCTCTGTCTCTCTGCAATTGGCAGTCCTGGAGAGTCATCGTTTGAAAATGTCGATCCTCTCTCTCTCTCTCTCTCTCTGATATCATAGAATTACTTCATTCAAGGCAAAATCATTTTCTTCTTCTAACATGATCATCTTAAAGGTAATAGGTGATACAGTTATGTCCTAATTTCTCATCTTAACATAGTATTTTTCTATCCTCATGGCCAGTGGTGCAAGAATACCGATTTATTAAGGGTAGGACAGACGTGTTCGATGAG